ATGGGTCTTGGAGCAGCCTGGTCTGGTGGGAGGTGTCCCTGCCCATGCAAGGGGTTGGGACTGGATGATCTTGAAGGTCCCTTCCAACCCATTCCATGATGATTCCATGACCTGCCTCCCTTTGGCTGATCCCATGGCTAAAGCCACCAGGCTGGGCCTCCCTGTGTCCCATTGTACCTCATCCCAGCCCAGGCTCAGGTCTCCCTGCTCCAGCACTGGTGGGCTCCTCTGAGAATGTGAATGGGGGGGGTTGTTTCTTCAGGTAGGTCTGTGTGGAGGTGTTGTTGTGGGGCTGGGTGGTGCCTGTCCCTGACAGAGGTTCTTGTTCCCTCTCATCCCCTCAGCCATCCAGCCCAGAGAAGGAAGTGGAGAGGGATGTGTTCCTGTTCCGGGCCTACATTGCCCAGGTGAGGTCACAGGGCTGGGCTGGGTGTGGGTCCCAGCCCTGTCAGCACAGGCTTCCATGGTCTGCTGGGAACTCCTCCTGCAGCACTGGGGCATCCCACATTCCTTCAGGGAATCATCCCTGTGTGTGCAGGGCTGGGATAACCTGACAAGACCTCCTCAGGAGGGGACATGTTTATCTTTAAAATACCACATGGGCACACACAGTTCCCTGCAGGGCCAGGACATCTGGCTGCACTTGCAAAGAATCAGGTGAGACATGAAGTAGAAATTCAGTGTTCCTGTTGATTGTTGTTCTGGCTGAGATTTTGGAAAGTGAGCAACGATTTCCTGGGTGCTGAATAATTAGGAAGTCTCAGATTCTTCTTTGTTGCTCTCAACAGAGAAAATATGGGGTTGTTCTGGATGAAATTAAAGCCAGTGCTTGTCCTGAGCTCCAGGCAGTGAGGATGTTTGCAGAGTATCTTTCAAACGAGAGCCAGAGGTGAGTGCTCAGGAGGGGGAGCTCAAACCCTGTCCTGCAGGAAATTGGTTTCCCTGTGGGAAGTTTCATGCAGAAAGGCAAGACTAGGGGGGGACACAAGATCCTTTTGTTTTGCTTAGTCATAAAACTCCCAAATTCTCACTCTTGCTCCTCACAGGGATGGAATTGTTGCTGATTTGGACAAGAAAATGGCAAAAAGTGTGGATGTGGCCAACACCACCTTCCTGCTGGTGGCAGCTTCCATCTACTTCCACGACCAGAATCCTGACGCAGCCCTGCGTGCCCTGCACCAGGGGGAGAGCCTGGAGTGGTGAGGGGCAAGGGGAGAGGGAATGGCTGAGCTCTGACTTGTCTCTGACAGCCTCCAGACCCCTGAGCTGCTCTGGGCTTTGCCTTCCAAGTTGGAAGGGATTTGGTGCTGGTCCCACCCTGTCGGAGGGAATGGCTGAGCTCTGGCTTGTCTCTGACAGCCTCCAGACCCCTGAGGAGCTGCTCTGGGCTTTGCCTTCCAAGCTGGAAGGGATTTGGTGCTGGTCCCACCCTGTCAGGTCTGTTGCTGCCCTGGGGACCTGGGGTGTTGATCCCTGTGTGTTCAGAGCTGTGTTGAAGGAACACTGGGGAGCTTGGAGCAAGATTCCCTCTTCCAGGCCCTGCTCCAAGAGCTGCCTGCTCTGCTGGCTCCCCAGGGCAGGGGCTTGTCCTGGGTGCTGCACCTGCAGCCCTGCTCCTCTGCAGGCTCCAGGAAACGTGTGGGGAGCAGGGAAACCTGCAGCTGGGAAACCACCTTGCTCTTGGAGATCTTATAGTGGCCTTCCAGTGCCTTAGGGGGCTGCAGGAAAGCTGGGGAGGGACTTGGGACAAGGGCAAGGAGGGGGAGGACAAGGGGGGATGGATTAAAACTGGAAGAGGGAGATTGAGGTGAGACATGAGGAGGGAATTGTGGAGTGTGAGGGTGGTGAGAGCCTGGCCCAGGTTGCCCAGGGAAGCTGTGGCTGCCCCATCCCTGGCGGTGTTGAAGGGCAGGTTGGATGGGGCTTGGAGCAACCTGGGCTGGTGGGAGGTGTCCCTGCCCATGCAGGGGGTGGATCTAGATGATCTTTAAGGTCCCCTTTCACCCCAACCCATCCCATGGGTCTCTCATCCCTTGCAGCATGGCCATGATGATACAGATTCTGCTGAAGCTCGACAGGCTCGATCTGGCTCGGTAGGTTTGTGTCCCTTTGCTCGTGTGGGCTGGGCCTTGAGAAGAGGATTTCTACCCCCCCAGCTTTTTGACACCCACAGCAGACAGAAGAACTTGTGTGTTGTTGGGGATGTGCTGCAGAAGGATTTTACTCTTCCAGCTGTAAAAGCTGTGGAGATAGAAGTGGATGCAGCTGAAGGAAGAGGTGGATCTCTAGGTTTAGTATCATCAGCACAACATGGTTGGAATCTCTCCTCTTGGGTTTCTAACTTCCCATGGGGAAGTAAAGCAGGGAGGTCTGGCACAGATGGAGCCCTTAAAACATCAAGAGGTGTTTGTGCCACATTCCCAGCAGGCTGTGGCTGCAGAGCTGGAAGAGCCGAGAGAAGAAACAGCAGCCTTTTGCTGCTGTTTTCAAGCAGTTGTCTTCTCTTTCTGTTGTGTGATTCCCACTTCTTCTGCAGCAAGGAACTGAAGAAGATGCAGGAGCAGGATGAGGATGCAACTCTCACTCAGCTGGCAACTGCCTGGGTGAACCTGGCCACAGTGAGTGCTTCCAGTGCCCCCTAGAGCATCTGGAAGATTCCAGATCTTCCAAATTGCTCCTTTCACACTCTACTCCCAGAACAGCAGGCAGGGGTTTTCTTGCTTTGGGGTTTTTCTTGGTTTGTTTGTGGTTTTTTTTAATATTTCCCCTTCCTTCAAGTACACAGAAAATATTGGGAGCTGGTTTCAAAACTCAACTGGCAGCTTTGATTCTTGGCCTTTGATCTGTGCTCCTGAGCCCTCACCTCCCACAGGGAACCGCTGAACCTCACTTCAAAAAATCACAGAACCTTAGGGCATAAAGTGGAAAGCTGCAGAGTTCCTGCCATCCAGACCTTGCAGGGCAACTCATAAGTAAAAAATATAATTCTCTTCTCAGATCAAACTGTCTTTAAGTGTCTTTGTGAGTCAGACAAAAACATCCAGTGCTTGGCAGTCCAGATAATCAGCTGACTGAGAAGAAATAGGCTCCTAAAATTCAGTGAGGTCCAATAACCTGTTATACTAGTAAGACCTCTTTTTGTGAGTGTCCTCTTGATGTTGTTATGGAGGCTGTCATGCATGGCCCTTGCCTCACCACAGTATGTGGCTGGATTGTCCTGAAGATCTTGGTTTCCACAAGGGATCCTGCCTCTAATTGCTGAGAGCTGCTGCCTGTGGAAACTTCTGAAGCTGGAACTTTTAGAAAAGCTGAGCATCCAAACCTGCATTTAGTTGTAAAAACCTCATTTTAGAATCCCTTGTTACATCAAACATCTGAACTGGTTCTTTTGAAGTGGTGGTTTTTTTCTTTTTAAGTGGGAACCTGGATCTTTTCATCATTTAAGTGGCTCTTTTTAATATATCTGCATCTCCTTCAGCTTCTGGCTGCCAGGGAGCTGTGGTGGCACAGGAGGTCACACCCATGTCAGCAGCTCTTGCCTTTGCTTCTGACCCATTTCATACCTGGGCTTTATAACCCTAGAAATGAATTTTGTGGCCTAGTCCTTCAACCATGGCAGGAATGTACAGGATTCCTAGCAACATGTGGTGAAAATGTGGGTGTTTGTCTTCTCCCTTTGCAGGGTGGGGAGAAGTTACAAGATGCCTACTACATCTTCCAAGAGATGGCAGACAAGTGCTCCTCCTAAGTTAACCCTACTAAAAACCAGCACTGTTATATTGCTACACTTAGTAGACTAGACAGAGGGGGTGCTCCAGGAGGCACTGGACAAGGTACTTTGTGGTTTTGCCAAATGGATTGGCTTTCAGGGGGATGTAGAGTAAATCAGCAAGGCCTTTCATCCTGTGAAACTTCCTGAAAATACCAGTATCTTGATCTATATCACTAAGGGTGGTCCCTGCTCAGACCTGCCTTTGCTTCTGGAAGTGAAATACCAGGGAAGCTGTGGCTGCCCCATCCCTGGCAGTGTTGAAGGGCAGGTTGGATGGGGCTTGGAGCAACCTGGGCTGGTGGGAGGTGTCCCTGCCTGTGCAGGGGGGTTGGAATGGATGATCTTTAAGGTCCTTTCCAACCCAAACTTTCCCATGATCCTGTGATCCTACCTTGCCAGTTCCCATAGGGTGAGCTCTGGGCTTGGCAGAGCTCGTTGGTGCAGAGCTGGTTGCTACACTTGAGCAGGGTAGAGCTGAGTCAGATACATGAGGTGCTTGTTCTTGTTTGCAGGACAGTGGCCATCCTGAGACCCTGATCAACCTCGTGGTCCTGTCCCAGCACTTGGGCAAACCCCCAGAGGTGAGGCTTGGCTGGTGGTGCTCAGCAAGCAGCACAGCCCCCCTGCTCCTGCTGGCAACTTCCCTTGGGCTTTGCTATTTTATCTGTTCCCATCAGGATTGGCCTTAAAAGAAAGATTGCCCAAAAGTAAATAGTTGTGGGTGCAGGGAGCTCACGTCCTCAGCAGTCAGGAAGTGTTTGTGGAAATACAGGTGTTCACTTCAGCTTCTCTCTCTCCTCCCCTCAGGTTACAAATCGCTATTTGTCACAGTTGAAAGATGCTCATAAAAATCACCCCTTCATCAAGGAGTATCAGGCAAAGGTACTAAGGACTTTCTCAGATAAAATGGGATTTCTCATGCCTCAAACCTCTGGTGGGGGGAGTGGGTGGATGCTTTACAGCTGCAGCTCTGGGGGGCAGGTCCCTGTTCTCTGTCACATCAGCTGGCAGCAAAATTTTCTAGCCCATGTAAGAGATTCTGGGAGACAGAATCCAGGGGTTAAACTAAGGGCTGATGCACCCAAACCTGGAAGTGTCTTGAAGGAATAACTCTGGAATATGGGTTCTTAATCTAAGTCACAAGTGTGACATCAGGGGTGTTCAGCCTGGAGAAGAGAAGGCTCCAGGGAGACCTTAGAGCAGCTTCCAGTGCCTGAAGGGGCTCCAGGAAAGCTGGGGAGGGGCTTGGGACAAGGGCAGGGAGGGAGAGGACAAGGGGGGATGGATGAAAACTGGGAGAGGGAGATTGAGGTGAGACATGAGGAGGGAATTGTGGAGTGTGAGGGTGGTGAGAGCCTGGCCCAGGTTGCCCAGGGAAGCTGTGGCTGCCCCATCCCTGGGGGTGTTGAAGGGCAGGTTGGATGGGGCTTGGAGCAGCCTGGGCTGGTGGGAGGTGTCCCTGGCCATGGAGGGGTGGGACTGGATGATCTTTAAGGTCCCCTCCAACACAAACCATTTGATCATTAACAATGGAAACATCCTTGTGGAAGAGAGAATTTGGGGAGGGGGGAGGAAGGATAAGGTGACAGCAAAGGGAAAATAGAAGAAACTGGGGGGCAAAAAAGGAGAACTGATGGAGGTGATCTTGCTTCTTAGCGTTCCTCTTGCCTTCCTGAGCTGGGGTAGCAGTGATCTGTTCAGCTACTGCAGGTTTTATGAAATGATCCACGAAGTTGAGGATTTGTTCACTCTCTCTTTGTTTCTGGTTTGAAGGAGAACGACTTTGCCCGGCTGGCCATGCAATACGCCCCCAGCGGCTGAGGAGGGGCAGGAGCCCCGGGCGCCCCGGGGACTGGGCTGGGTGTGCAAAACCTCGCTGGTAACACGGGAAAATGCACCCCCCCCACGAGTCAGTCTGGCTTAACTTTCTCAGCAGGGTCTTGCCATCCTCTAAGCCAGAGTTAGAGCTGCATTGAATGTGCAGCTGTTTGGATTTGGTAGCTGGAAATGCTGCCTTCTGGCTTAGCTGGGTCCTGAGCTGTGTTTCAAAGCCAGAACCCATCAGGAGTGAGCAGCACTGCACCTCAGCTGCCTAATAAAGCCTTTTCTGGATCTGTGTGCCCCTTCATTTCTGGCATTCAAGTAATTCCACTCTGGGACTGAACCCTGTGCCCTGTGGGAAGAGTATGAAGGTTAATTTGAAGCATCTGCATTCAGATGAGTCCTGAGCTGTTGGATCTCCTTTCAGCCTGGCTGGGGACTCCTCCTTTGCCTTCACATCCTCCGGAAGGGGCGTAGGCAGCTCCAGGGGTTACTGCTGGTGAGAGGGAAAGCTTCCCAGAATAAAAATAATCCCATGGTAATAGGCTCAAGCCTTAATCTTAAATTGGTAAAAGGCAGCAGCTCGTGTGCTGGAGCCAGGAAAGTCCCTCCTGCAGTACGTGTGGAAATGCCCTTGTCAGCAGTTGCTTCTGAAGGCCTGGTGGTTGCTGAACCTGACCTGGTTGCTGAACCTGACCTGTTGTGGTGGAACAGAACATGATCCAGCTCTTCCTGGTTCTGCTTTTCTGTGGCCTGGGGCTCCTGTGTGGCATTTCAGAGCCTGTGTTGAGATGGTGTCACCTCAGAGGTGCAGGTGGCCCAGCAGAACCCTCAGGTGGAACCACCTGAACTCTTAAGGATGATCTTTTGGATTGTGTGTGAGGAGGAGAGGGGTTTAAGCTCTCCTGTAAATGCCCCCAAGTGGTGTTTCCTTCGTGCCCACCCCGGCCAGGGTGGCTCTGAAAGGGCTCATTGTCTCCTTCCTTGGCTTGTTCAGCAGCAGCTATTCTCAATGAGGGGTTATTCATGGTCCAGTCTGGCATGAATGTTTCCTTTGTGGAGCTGTCTGAGGGAGACCTGAAAGGGGCTTGTGTGCTCAGGGCAGCCATTACCCACTTGATGGGCCATGATAAATTGACTTAAAAATGTAAACAATAAAAGCAGGGGCAGAGCAGGAGCCAGTGCTGTGGTGTGAGAATAGGGGGACATGTTGTTCAGACCTCTGAGAGGAGCAAGGTTGTGTTTTCTTATTGCTGCCCCAGACCAATTAGAGAGGTTCCAGAGAACCTAAAAGCACAACAGGCTGAGAAACGATTTTAAGTGACCGAAAATTCATTTAATTTTGTCTTTTCCTTTCCCTATCAAGCTGGTTTGAGTGACCAAGTTCCACCAGCACCTGTGATGATGATGATGATTCTCCATCTCTAGTAGGAAGGGTTCCAAAGCTGCAGTTTAGCTGAGAATTCTGGTGCATGAGGACACAGCTGAGCTCCACTGACCCCTCCACAGCCAAACCCAAACTCTGCTCTGGTGCCTTTGGGCTGAGATTCCTGGTGTGTTTTACTATGAGACTTTCCAACTGTGGCATTCGAGGAGAATCTTCATCCTAAACTCCTGCTTCTAAATGTCTGCCTGTGTCTGTGAGTGGAGGTATTGCTTTTTATTTTAAACATACCAATACTGAGGTTCCTGGGCAGGAGGAGGTGTCCCCAGGGGTGACCTTTGGGCAGGGTTGATTTGCATCTCTCAGGTGCAGCTCATTGTTCCAGAGCCTGAGCTGCTCCAGGTGCTCCAGGAACCAGAGTGGAAACACCTGGTGGCTTTTCCACTCAGACACTTGGTGAGGAAGGGAGGAACCTGCTGCAGCTCAGAGGCTGCTGAGAGGTATGAAGGAATGCAAAACCCGGAGAGATGTTTTTCTTTGCGCATCAACTGATCCGATATTTCAAGGGTGAATGTGGAAGGTGTTTTGAACAGGGAGCTCCGTTGTTGTTGGGCAACTCGCAGCCCCCAGGGTCGCCCAGAGGGGGCAGCTCGGCAGGCGCAGCGTTTCCCACCGATTCAGCATCAATTCTCATCTCCTGATACCGAAACATCCCCGGTTGTCTCTGGTTCCTAC